AGGTGGGACACGAAAGTATGAATAAATGCCTGAGGACACAAGAGTTTTCTGTGTTGCAAATTATAGGAGTTGTAGGAATAGCAATAAATAGTGCAAGAAGGAGATGGCAGCCTGGCCAGATCCTAAAGAAGTTTATGTGAGGCTAAGGAGTTTGGATTCCTTGTACTGTTGTAAGCAGACCCTCAAGGCCTTTGGCCAAATAAATTATTTGGATTTTAGAACACTTGAGTTGTACAAAGGGTGGAATAAAGGAGGGCAAGACTGGAATTAGACCAGTGAGAGAGCTGCTGAGAATAGATTGAAGGTTTGAACTATGGTGGTGGCTATGGCCGTGGAGATGGAGAGAAGTGGAGAGGCTGGCTACAGAGGTAAAGTGGCTGCCTAGGTTGATCGGATGTAGGTAGATTTGGGAACCATCCTTGTTTAGATGACAGCTGAAGTTGTAGAAGTAGAAAAATTTGGCTTAGTCAGTGGTTCTCAGTCTTTTTTGAGAATCTGATGAACTTCATGGACCTTTGTCCAGAAAAATGCATTTACTCACATTCACAATTTTGTACATTTGGTTTGAAACCTGGGATAATAACTTCGTCCTGGGGTAGATGTAGAGTAGAAATTAAAATGAAAGATTGTAGAAGTGTCTTGTCTGACTCACACTTTTTGTGTGTTTGTGTGTCACTTTATCACTGCCGTTTCATAGATGAGGGAACAGATTTATAAAATAAATTTCTCAAGGTCATGCATCTTGTATTTTAAGTTTTAATGAGCTACTTACATGAAAAAAATCAGAATATTTTGTGGGATTATTTGGTTTTTTATCTTCTTTTGAAAAAGTGGAAGATCTAAAAGCCCTGGGTCTACATTTTTGTTTTTAATTGCACCAATTTACTGGAACTAGTTTGAGTCAGTCCCCTTTAGATGAGCAAAGTTTGCTAAAGTCTGCCCCCGGCCCACCCTTGTGGCCCATGTAAGGTATTTCGTCTTGCATCCCTATAAAACAAGGTAAAGAGGATCTTGGGGAACACTGACACTTGAGTGTGGGGGGAAAAGAAACTAAGCCACTGACTGAGCTGCCAGAAAGGGATTTTCAAGAAAGAGAAAGTGGTCAACAGGGTCAAATGCTACGGAGAGGTCAAGTACGATAAGGATGGAACAGTGTATGTGGAGTTTAGCAACAAAGAGGCCTTTAGTTTCAGATTCATAGAACAAAAGAACTTTGACGACTATAGCTACAACTTTTTTCTTCTTGTCCTGCAATATAGGGTTTCCATAACAATTGAGAGTGACTGTGGCATGGACAGGAACTCAGAAGGCATTTGTTGTAAAGGATGATTTACAGGAGCTCATAAATGCTGTAACCAAGTCAAGCACTACTCATTCTGCTAGTATTTTCCATCACAAGAACATCAGTATATAGAGGTTGTATAGAATGTAGACAATATTTTTAATATTAGATTTTTAATATGGATTATAGGGAATTCTCAGTAGATTCTGTTAGCATAGCCCCAAGAAGGTGGGAGGGCCTGACTTAATGGAGAATTACACTGTACCATTCAGAAAATCACTAGCAGCTGGAGAGTGCACTTTAGCTCTGCAGATTGTAGATTAAAATGATAATACTAATAAATTACTACTTACAGCTTCTAATAGTAGTTAACATTAAGTGATTACTAGTGCTGGATACCAAGCTAAGCATGGTTCATGAAATGCCTAATTTAATTTTAAAAGACTCAATGAGGTACATACTATTATACTCTCTCTTTACATGTGAGAAAACTGAAACCTAAATAACTTGCCCAGAGTCATAGACCTAGTAATTAGGAGAACCAGATTTGAGCACCATCTCTGATACCCACTAGAACCAATAAGTACTCTCAACTTCTGCATAAACTCTCCTTTACCTTTCTGATAAATCACTTAAGGAACTCAACTACTGTAAATTCCATTTAAATTCATAGTGCAGACTTATTTGTCCAATGCAGTTTGGCACATAATAGCTATTCAGTAAACATTTATTCGATTTATGTTTTAATAGTCTACTTTGAACTTTCTACTGAATATTGTTTATATTTTTGGGTGATAGGCAATTTTTCCCCCCATCAGTTGATTTTCATTATTTCTAATTTTACTGCTTTTCACATTAATATGTGGGATGTTAGTTTGTTAAAAAAATTAATATACTCATCTGTTTAGTATTTTATTACATTTTTTTCTCTGAAGTTGAATTAAAACTCTTCATAAAAAGCTTAAAATGGGGGAGGCTTTTTAAAAGACTTTAAAGTATGTGACTCTGGGATAAGTAAATGTTCTTTTCTGTTGTATTAAATATGTTAGAAAACTAACATTCTGAGAATTTAGGGTCATGCAGGATTAAAAAAATGTAAGGTATGTTGTAGGTCTAGGCTCTTAAAAGGGGGCAGAATATAAAATTACAGATGGCAATTAGGGAAAAATGCTGTGGCAGTGAAATGAACATGCTTCTGAAACATGAGACGCAAAAGAGCAGTAATGACATATAGAGATTCCACGTGGAGGTGATGCAGCAGCAGTCCCGAAGAGAATAATGTTCATATTTTTGTCAAATTGGTTTATGGTTGCTGTTGGAAGACTGGAAGGGCTGTGGGTTGCTTTTGTTAAAAGCTTATCTTCCTTACTTTTCTCCCTGCTAATGTATTATTCCTCTGTATTTGCAAGACGAAAGAAACTATAGAAGGGAATTGTTTTATTTTTCAATTAAACTCAGCATGTAATATCAGGAAGACTTTTTATTTTAAGATTTTTCACCTGACCATATTTTCTACTCTTGAATTTCAGTGTATGGGTATGTTTACCATGGAGATATTCTTTCTGTGGGACTATTCTCAGTAATAGTTTTTTTTTTTGCTTTTTGGTAGTGATTGAATAAGGGTGTGTATTCTGCTGCCACCCTAAAGTGCTTAATTACCTGTGTTCTCCTCCTTGAGGGAGCATAGATCCGTTTATATTCTAAGCAAGTTATTTCCATAGCTGAAGGTAATATCTGCTGTAGTTGTTAATAAATTGAGTCTGGTTAGGATTTTTTTTGCTTCCTCTTTTAAGTGACATCTTGTGTTAAAAGGTAGAGCTTCGGTGTATCCTTTCTTTATGGATTAGACATACAATAGTATTTAAATATTAGGATCTATCAGACGTTTGATTAAGATCATGTGGACTTTATATATTATGTGTTTCCTCTCTCTGTATCTTACAATGAGTGTCAAAGAGTGAAGGCCATGTGAACTTCACCTTTGGTGCAGTAGGGGTAAAGAACTTGAATTGTGGGAGGCTGGATGTAAAGAATGGAAAAAAGTGGGTCTTTTCCCTGAGATCTGACTTTAGTGCTTTTTTTCAAGAATTCTTCTTTAATTAAAAAAATGAAAAACCTATTAGAGGAATAGTTTCCAGTGTATAGACAGAGTGATTTTGATATTAAATAATATTCACTTAGAAAGAAGTTATATTTCAAAGCAGAGGGCCATTTAAAGTGAGTGAATTCATCAGAGAATTGAAAGTATAAGTATAAAGATTAAGTTGAGCTTTTAAAAAGAGGGATTTGAAAATGGAGAAACCAGTCAGTTGTTCAAAAGGAAGATGCAAAAAATGATATAAAGTTGGTTTTTAATGAGACTTTAAAACATTAAAAATCAGAGAAAAAATTAAAAGAAAATTTTAAGAACATTAAAAATCAAAGAAATAAGAAGAAAAAATTAATTACAGATTTAAAAAACAGAAGGAAGAGAAGTTGTTTATAAGATGTTGAAATTATACACCTTTTTGTAATGGCATAGAGTAGCAAGAGCTTTCTTTCACACCTTGTGGCAAATGCTGAAAGAGGGCAATTGGATAGATTAATGAATTCTTTTTTTTTTTTTTTTTTAA